GAGCCAAAGATGTTAGAATTGTGTCGATGTCCCAATATTTCTGGACCTGACTGTAGTTTTTCAATTAAAAGGACACATCTGTAACTAGCTAATTATAATGTAGGTATTTTACGGTTGCATCAATGTTAGAAATGTAGATGTTATGGATACCTGCCAAATTTGCAAAGTAATAATCATGCATCTTTCTTCAAAAAACGGCATCTTCAGTGCAGTATAAAAATGCTATGAAGAGCCATGTAGCCATATTTCATTTGTAAAGTGGCATTAGAGGCTCTCAGGGCATATCTTGCTGAAAGGATTGTTGCCCACACTGTTTTCTTTTGATACAGTCACCAGCTCATTCTTTGTTGGAGACATGGCTTTGAAGGATCTGAAGGAACAACAGGAATTAGGGAGGGATGGAGCATTGCTCCCAGCTAAGAAGGAAACCCAGCTGGAAAGTCTGGGAAATGTGTCCTGTGCTCTACTGTCTCCCTCAGAGGTATCTATGTCACTAAATAGGTAGGTTTTATATGCATGAGACTGTTTTACTCTTGCCACTGATGTTATATCATGGGATGGAGGGAGTGGAAGTTTCAGTCTCTTTAAATAGTGTAGGTAGTGACTTTAATTATACAGGAAAAACTGTATATCTAGTAGCAAGGTTACAAGCCCATAATGAAGTCTAGCTTTCTGAGAATACACGGTGGAGGGTGCACTGAGACTGATGATAAAACCCACCACTTTTTTGCAGTGTGAAACACATTGTCCAAAATAGTTTCAGAGCCATGTATTTTAAAAGGTAGAACTAAACCACAAGATAAAGATCCTGCCAAGATCAAATGTAATTTAGAAAAGGACAAAATTGTAAGGTGCCAGCTCATCATTACAGCCAGAGAGATGAAGCAGAACTACCAGAAAAGAAGTCCAGCTGAAGAGGAAAGGTAATTTGCCTTCTCTATTCCTTCTATCCCAGAGGCATCTGCACCAGTGAATGGATAGGGTTTTTTTCATGTGTGGAGAAACTATTTTGAAGTACGTGGCAATTTGTTAAAACCTCTCATGTTGTATTTCACTTGGACAGAGCAGCACCATATACTTCACTTCAAATCATTTGAATAAAAATTTGCTAAATGCAATCACGAGACTAAATGCACCTGATATACAGATATATACATTAGAGCAATTGGCCTCACCCCTGCACCAAGAATGTTAACTAGACAGGAAGTTCTGAACTATTTTCCAATTTTTTTCTGCTTTAAATTGTCCTCCAAGCTCCTCCTAAGTTCCTCCCCTGCTATCCCTACAGTTGCTTTAAAAGTAGGTTTGTCATAATTCTCTTGGAGTATTAATGGTTTCAGGCCTGTAATCTATGCAGTTACCCATGATTTTAATGTAAATTTAGCTTCTGTGATTCAGTAATTTGATTTACCTCATTAGAAACTAGATAAACAATGCTGTAGGTTTAATTAAACTAATGGATTTCCCTGTGTGTTTTTACATTGATGATTAATACTTTAATGTTGCTCTATTCCATTTGAAAGGACAATGGATGGAATATACACCCACCAGTTAATAAATCTAAAGAAACAAATGCTTCAGCTGCAACTGGAAAAAATGTTTTAGGTCTTTTCCACACCCACCTCTACACTACCATCTTCACAAAAGTAGTTGAGTGGCTAGAGAGTTTTGATTGAAAGATTCTGCACAGAAATGTTTCAGCAATGTTGATAGATTTTGATTGCTTTCTAAACTGAACATTTGTGTATGCTTAGGAATCAATGGGACTTTTTTTAATAGATGTATTTAGAATCAGGATTGTACAGTTTTCATTATAAATAAACATCTTTGTAGTTAATCTACATCCTGTTTATTTGAGTTAAATTTGCTTCTAAATAGGGATCCAAATCAGTGAATCAGTAACAGGTTGGGTGAAACTGCTGGCACAAATGAAATTTCATTTACATGGCTTTTCAATCTCTTATTAACAGCTTTTAGTGGAGGTAACTGAAACATTAATTTGTCAGTCATAAAGTAATTCAGTTGATTTCTAAGATTTACGTGTATCTTAAGGCTAATAACTTTTACATGGATGTACTTAAAAATCAAATTAAAAAATTAAAGAAGCAATCAGTTACAAACAACTGTGGCTAAAACAGGCATCATAAGGAAATCTGAAAAGACTGCAGAGATAACATTGCTAAAAGCACGACATAACAGAAATATAAAAAAAGACTGTGGACTGTCCTAAAGTAGGAGGTGATATGTTGTGCAGGCCTGATCTAGACCCATTTCAATTATGTTTCAGGTTGGAATTTAGTACTGAGCAGCCTTTGTCATGCTTATAGATGGCCTGTGGCAGAGCTAGGATAGAGGTGGTGTATTTATCCTTGTGCTCTTTGATCTCTCAGCAGCTTTCGATACCTTTGACTACAGTCTTCTGAGCCGGTTCCATGGGCTGGCAATGGGGGGGATTGTTTTACGGTGGTTCTCTTCCTTTCTCTGGGGCCAGTTTCAGTCAGTGTTGTTTGGGGCAGAGGAGATTGCTCTCTAGGCTCCTTTGTGGGGTACTGCAGAGTTCTACCCTCTCTCCCCTCCTATTCAACATCTACATGAAACCACTGGATGAGGTCATCTGCTGGTTTGTGGCTTGGTACCATCAGTATGATGATGACCCCCTATTACATCTTTTGATCCTGGGCTGGCTAAGTGAAGCTATCAAGGTTCTGTTCCAGTGCCTGTAGGATATGCAGGTTTGGATGGGAAGGAACTGACTCTGACTTAATACTGCCAAGACTAAGTGGCTGTGGATATTTGGGCCACTCAGATCCAGGGATGTTCCACCTTTAACTTTGGATGGGGTAGCACTTCCCTATTCAAGAGTGGTGCACAGTCTGGGGCTCTTTTTGGACTCACAGCTCCTTCTTGATGAGCAAGTGACAGCTGTGGCCAGGAAGGCCTTTGCACAGCTTCATCTGGTGTGCCAGTTGTGCCCTCCTAGATTGGTAAGCCCTTCAGACAGTCAGTTATGCCCTGGCTACCTTGCAGCTTGACTACTGCAACATGCTTACATAGGGCTGCCCTTGAAGACCACCCAGAAGCCTCTATTGGTTCAGAATGCAGTGATGTGGGCAGTGGTGGGCATGCCTTGGTATGCCCACATAATATCTCTGCTCCATGAGCTATACTGGTTGTCAGTTTGCATCCAGTTGTGATTCAAGATGTTGGTTGTTACCTATAAAGCATACTATCTCCGTTAATATCTGCCCAGCCAATTCAATCTGGCAAGGTTGGTGTTCTCTAGGTTCCTTTAATTAAACACTGTCATCTATTGGGATCTATTGGGATCCTGGAAGCAGGCCTTTTCTGCCATAGTGCCTGCCCTCTGGAATGAGGTTCCCCCTAAGATCCAGATGGCTCCCACCCTGCTGGTATTTCAGAGAGCCTTGAAGACCTGGCTTTGTCAAGGTCTTTGTCAAAGATGACTGAAGCCCCTTTCTGTGTAATGTGGGTTTGCTTTGGTTCTTGTCTGGTTTGTGCCATCTTTTGCCATCTTTTCTTTGTTTTTATTGTTGTATTATTTTACTGTTCATGTGTTTTTATCTCTGAACCTCCAGAGTCACTGGAACCTGGGCAGTGGTTTTTTATTTTTTAAATCATACATTATTCTCCAAGTGTGGCTTCCCCTTTGCTAAGCAGAGATGAATAATGACTTTATGTCTGATATGATGCTTCTTCTAATGCAGTCGAAAATATTTTAACCCATCTAGCTGCTGCCTCACACTGCTGAATCATATTGAGCTAGTTGTCAATGATCACATTCAAGTCTTTCTCAGATGTAGCATGTCGCAGCCCACTCTTGCAACCTTTCCAGATTATATTGCAATCTCATTCTGTCATCCTGGGTGTTGGTCAGATCTCCCAATTTTGTGTCATCCACAAATTTGATAATCAACCCATAAATCCTATCTTCTAAGTCATTAATAAAAATGTTGAATAATACTAGTCGTAAAACAGATCTTCGCAAACCCCCATTGGTTACTACTTTCCAGTACAATGTTGAGCTATTAATGCTAACTCTGAGTACAGTTAGCCAACCTCACTATAGTGCCATCCAAACTACACGTTAACAGCTTGTCAATGAGAATACCATGGAGTATCTTTTCAAAAGCTTTGCTGAAATCAAAGTAGATTACATCAACAGTGTTCCTCTTGTCACTAGAGTAGTTACTTTATCAAAGGAGACAAGATTTGTTTCACATGATCCCTTTTTAACAAAATCTGGTTGGGTCTTAGCAATCATGGCATTGTTTTCAATGTCACTGTTTTATTTAATTGTGCTATGTGAATAGTTTTATTAATGCATTTATACTCTGTCCTTGCATTCTACATAAGGAGTACCAAGATTTAAACTAAATTAAATTATGGGGAAGTGAAGGACATGGTGAGAAAGATGCTGTGTTCTTAAACATAACAAAAACAATCTTTGTTTTTTTTTACAGCAGAAACCATATGCCTAACAATAATGCGCTAGCTACTAATAAAGCCCTATCTTCTGAGAGTCTACATTATGAAGATGGCATTGAAAAAGAGACTAGAAAATCTACCACCTGTCAACAGTATGAACTATTTTCTCTAAAACAGTTTCATTCAGAATCAAATGTATTAGAAGATAGAACTAAACTAAATAGTCATCTTTCCAGAAGTACTTGTGACCTAATTCAGGAAGAAAATGACAATTTGGATATACACAATTCTACTTCACCACAAGAAATTATGCAGTACCAGCCTTCCACTATAAGTAGGGAAAGGAAAGATTTTCTCCTAGGCAGTGAGATATTTGATAAAAGTTTATTAAAAGCTGAATTACAACTTGAGGAAAATGTGCCTTGTGAAGCTGTGAATGGGTCATTTGGAACTCCAACTCTGGATGAGCCAATGGACGACATAGCATCTAACCCAAGGCAAAGGCATGAAATTCCACATAGAACTCTGTTGAGTAGTACCATTGACTTAACTTTTGAGAATAATTCCTTAGAAAGTTCAACTAATGATTCTTCAGCTTTTCTGCCTGCAAAACAGAGCAATAGTCTTCCTACACATGCAGGATCATCAAAACTTTATGATGCCTCTGTAATTATGGGAGGTGAGAAAGTGGGTGGTAAGGTCAATTCTGTTTGTTGTGGACTGATGAACCTGAGGATTAATGAAGAGGTGAGATCTGATTCATCTGCTTCCTTTGAACCAGTAAAACTTCCCTTGTTAGATGCAGAAGATTTTGTCCAGTCCCTGGACCAGGCAGATAATATTGCAAGTGATCAATTGGAGCTTCTGTTGAATGGTAGCTCTCCAGAAGGCAGTCAGAAGAACTTGTTCTCTAATAAACCTTCTGAGTACTTTGACAGTGATTTCTCTATATTTTGTACTTCACAATTTGAAAGTACTGCACAGACTTTGAGGGATCTTAAAAATAATGTTCAGTCTCAAGAAGACTTTTTGACATTAAAGCAGCAGCACATGACACAGGTAACATCAACTCCTGTAAAACTAGAAAATGTGCTATCTCCAGCAACTGTTTTGAGTACTGAGATACTGGAAGGCAGCTATTCTGGTAATTGCTACCACCGAGATGGTTCCCGACTCAGTAAGTTGGAAGCAGTTGTTACTGCTCTCCCTCTGATCTTTTAATAAATATTGTTTAGAAAGTTACAGGAAATGGGAATTTATTATGAATGTTATGGGTCTTGAATGCCAAAGAAAAATGTATGAATACACTATCTAACCAAACTATATGTTAATCTGGTTTTACTAATCTCTCTTGGTTGGTAGTATTCCTTGCTTCCTGCCTTATAGACCACTCCAATCATAGTATACTCTGAGTGCCATGCCTACCAAATATTGCAGTTGGATTAAGAACAATACATAAAAAGATATGATCTAAAAACCCTAACCACAGTTAACAACAATTCAGCTATACATTTTCTTTTGTCAGTAGGAACAAAATAACATCTCAAGTGCCAATGCGTGCTAAAACAGCCAGGTCTTTATAGCTTTTTCAAAACTCAAGATCCTAGGGGGGCAATCTAAATTTCTAGGGGGATGTTGTTGGAGAAAGCCTTTGGAAGAATTCGGCTATCTGCCTAATCTTTTAGGCAAAATTCCAGTCTTGCCTTATTTTTCATTGAACACATTTATGATTAAGCTTTAATGTTTTGGGCTGGTTAGTTATCAAAGGTCTTGGCTCACAGGATGAAGCAAATCTCAAGATATTTTGAAAGTTAGCCAGCCTTTCCTACCAGTAGTCTCCAACATGCGTTGATGGAGAATTCTGGCAGTTACTGTCCCAGCAATTCTGGAGGATGCAATATTCAGAAAGGCTGATCAAAGCCACGGTATTCTGACATTAATAGCTTTAGAATGATATTAAGTATGAATTTCATTAAAACATCACTTAAAATTCCACTGGGAATTTTCCATATTCCTCTAGTGAAAAAAGGCCAGTAATAAAGCTTTTTTTTTCATTGTTCAATTTGTTCTTAAGTTATCCCATATTGGTTATGTTTATACATTTCTGAATTAAAGAGTTTAGCTGAAATATTAAAACCTTAAATCCACAACATATTTATGGGCTTCAGAATCTCATTCTGGGATAAGTGTTGTACTTCTTTTCTTAATCTCATTTTATGTGTTGGTTAATATTTTTATCTTGGTTAATAATTTTGCAGGCATACTCTTTGAAGTGAAGCGTGTGGAATTGCATGATCCTGCTGCTCTTTTTTGTATTTGGGTTATGAGAGACCTCTTCCAAAGCCAGAAACAAGCAGCAGCAAAGACACAATTACTTCTTTCTAGCTTGGCCGGTTCCTGCCAAACCCTAGATGACGTCTCAGCCATTAGTTTGGCAGAAGTAAGTATACTGTTTCTTATATACATCATAGACATTGTTTATTGCAGTGTTTCTCAACCTCAGCAACTTGGCTGGCTGGAGAATTCTGGGAGTTGAAGTCCACATATCTTAAAGTTGCTGAGGTTGAGAAACACTGGTCTACTGGGATACAATAATGCCAGTGAGCAAACAGTAACTGAAAGGGTGTTACTGATATTAACGTGGTCAACTGACTGTAGCCTATGTTTTATCCTTTTATCTGTAATGTGAATTATTTCCTACTTTTTTTCAGTGCAAAAGCTTAGATTCATCAAAAGGGCCTAACATTTTGCAGAATTCCTTACCCAATATGTTCCCTTTCCTTCTTAAGTGTTTAACATATTTTATATAAGAGGACTATAATTTTAAAGGAATAATTGCCCCTCTTTAAGAGAATACAAAGATGAATATGGTAACATAAGAGTCCTGTTGGATCAGGCCATAGGCTTATCTAGTCCAGCCTTCTGTATCACAACTGGATGCATTTGGGAAACACTAGACTGAAGGATGATTGTCTCCTTCCACTGCCACTTCCCAACAACTAGTACTTAAAACTTGCTGCCTATGATTCAATAGGTAGTAAACGATTAATATTAATAGTGACTGATAGCTTGATCCTCCATGAACCTGTTCATTACTCTTTTAAAACCATACAAATTCCACAACTGCTGGATACAAATTCCATAGTTTAACTATACACAGTGTATTTTTTTTTTTTTTTACTATGATGTAGTGGTTAAGGTTTTTGAACTATGACTGGGAAAAACGCAAGTTCAAGATCAAGCTTAGCCATGAAAATTCAGTGAATGATTTAGGCCAGCCATTCTCTTTCAGCCCAGTCTATCTCACGGAACAAACAAATATTTAAATATCTCCTTTTACTGGTCCTGAATTTCTATGGATTTAGTTTTAATGAATGTCTTTGAATTCTGATATTTTAAGAATGAGAAAAGGCCTCTCTCTACATTATCAGTGCTGTACATAATTTTATATACCCAGTTATATTTTCCTTTCTCTTCCTTTTTTTCCAAACTAAATAATCCAAACTACTGTAGTGTACCCTCATAGGGGAGTTGCTCCAGCCTTCTAACAAATGATGCAAATTAAATGTGACAAATACAATATTTGCTGCATCTTAATTGTTTCTAGCCAAAAACTCTCATAATGCAGGAAATAAAAGGGAATCCTAGTTCATTATAATGAATCCTTGTTTACCCTATAATAGGGATGAAGCTGCTGACCCAAACCTTATTCTCAACTAGGTGTGATGAAATCATCAATAGGAAATTATTTCCTCATATCCTAGAAAGGGCAGGGACCTTGGGGCTACATTTTAATGATAGGATTTGATGCTAGGATTTTAATGCTAAGACTTTCCCTTGCATTGCCCAGAATGGATCTCAGTTATTTTAGCTCCTCCCTTTACACTCTCTAATTCTTAGTTTATGGCTCCTAAAAATCTCCTGCCCCTGTATTAACAATTTTTTCTTTGCTTTTTTTAAAGAGTTTTTTCTTGTTCTATTCATTGTTCTAATGGAAAATGAGCCATGTTCAAGTCTGTGAACAAAGGAATTGACCAGCAAAGTAGTCTTTTGTGTTGTGGATAGCAAAAAACAAACTGTCCCAACTGTTATATACGGGATTAGGCAGATATCCTTCTAATGATAGGTACATGTATGCCACTGGTGCTGTGGTGAGCAATAAAACAAGTGCAGTTATATAAGGATCCTCTACTTTCCAAGTAAGATAAATCTGAAGGGGAGTGCACTGCAGTAAGAGGGCAGTGCTTTTTCTTTGACCACTCTGGGTTTTGGCCAAAGCAAGAGCACCTGAAAAGATGAAATTCAGGCCACCAGATGGCAGTGGAAACTAGGGAATATGCCCTGTTTAATGTGACAGTGATTGCCTAACTTCCTTCAATCCACTGATTATCCAATTAACTATCACATCTGTTAAACTGTTAAGATCTTCTAATTAGGCTCAGCTCCCAAGATTTTGTTGGGAGGATTAATTTATTTGTTTGAAAAAAGTAAAGCAAGCTGCAATTATTAGCAGTTCAGTATCTCAGCAAAATGAGGACAGCCATTCTGTAAGCGAGGTATGTTATAGTGGCTGCAGTAGCACCATCACTGCTATAGAACACAATGTGATCTGGCCACCAGCCCTGGTGATGTTGACAAAGGACCAATTCCAACCATTTTGCTTTAAAACAATAACAACACAATTTTCTTCTTTGAAAAGTTTCAGAAAAGTTGTCTGCTGCAGTAGATATATTATCATGTATTTCCACTTCCCTGTGCATTGATTTTTTGGGGGTGGATTTAGTTCCCTTTGGAAGGAAAAATCATAGGAAACTCAGGGCATTTATGTAATATTTTGGTTCATTTGCAAAGTCACTGTTCTGCACAGTAGATGCAGACAATCTAACCTTCCTGGAATGCTATATATCCTTTGTCTCACATCAGATTCCCAAGGCTGCAACCCTCAGAGGTGCCTTACTGAATGCAAAATTAGCTCTCTTCCCATTATCTGTGTAAGATCCATTGATTGTATTCATTTTTTTCCCATTTTCAATTCTTTCTCCCCACATCCTTCCCCAATATATGTATATTTATGTACCTATAATTCTTACCTGGGCAGAAGAAGATGAGCTCAGCACACTAATAATTTTCCCCACTCAGAACATTCATTGATATTCTAGGCATTTCTTGGCTATTCTGAGCAATTAGTAAGAAATCTCCCTTACAAAAGAACAGCCAGAATTGGATGGCAATTTTGACAGATACAAGATGTTTCCACTTTAACTAATAACTGGTACTGCCAAATTTGCAAGATTACTAGGTACATGGTTACAAGTACATCTGGTAAAATTGGAGCAAGTTTGGTTAATCTTTGGATGGTTTTAAAAGAGTATCCACAATCCTTATTTATTTATAAGATTTATGCCCCACCTTGGCTAATTCTCATCCTTTTGGGTTTAGATTAATAATTGAATTTATTCAAAATTAATTACTAACTTCAAATACAGAAATAGCCCAATGGAAATCAACAGAGTAATTTGAGGACAGCTACAGATTGAATATTTACCTGTTTTTAATATATTTCCCACATTCTTTCCTTGTTTTCCTCTTCTTTTGGCTATATACATTAATTTGTTCACTAAAATGTTATAATGTGCATCAATTATTTTTTGCTGCAGTTAATCAAAACTACACCCTTATTTGAGAATTCACGGAGAGCTGAAGAATTAGAAAGACTGAAAGCTTGTGAGGGAGGCTATGGAAAGAAATACGATACTGTCACTTTCATTGGGAAAGGAGCTTTTGGGTTTGTCTGGACAGCAAAGAGTAAAATGGATCATAAAGAGGTAAAATCAAATACTTAAAATTAGTAGTCATATTAGTATTAGCTGCTTGTCATTATGCTTTATGTTATTTTATGTGTGCTGTGCATTATTAAGTAATACCTTACTTTTTTCTCTGGATGAATACAGTTAGTCCTTGCTTACTGACCATTCATTCAGTGACCGTTCGACGTTATGAAGGTGCTGAAAAAATAGCTTTATGACCAATTTATGACCATTTACAACCTTTGCAGCATCCCTCAGTCATGTGATCGCCATTACAGTCAGTATGTGTTGTCCTGTGTCTGACTTGTATTCCCTGGTGTATTCCCCATTGTATGCCTTTTTACTCTCTTCTAATCCCTTTATCTCCAATCTCTCTGCTCTGTGATGGGGGGCGGGCAGAAGAGAGATTGCCCACAGAAATTGCTTAGTGGGGCCCTTCTTTTCTTTACTCCTGCTTGGCCATGGGAGAGGCTGGACATCTGCCTTGGAAATATGCCTGTCAGCTTCTGCGCATGTCCTCCCAGCTGGCCCGGGACCCAAAGAGACACCTTCCTAACCCCATTTGACATTCCAAGTTGTGCACAGCTGGAGTCTCCACCCAGCATGCTTGCAAAAAGAAAGCGCCTGTGGGCAGGTTGGCTGGCCGACTTAGGTTGTGCCGGCTCAGGACTCCAGCTAGCTTTCCCCTTTTTGGCGGGGAGGGATGGAGCCCTTGTGGTGGTGGCTGCTGTGATGAGAGGAAAAGTTTGAAAGGAGGGGATTGCGAAGAGGCCATGAGGAAGCCCAGCCACCTGGCCCAGGAGGTGGGTCCCTGGGTGGAAGGCACTGCCTCAGTTTTGGAATATCATCCCCCTAGAGATCTTTCCACTCTGTGAGAGACGGGGTGTGGGGGGGGGAAGAAAAAGTGGAGAGACTGGAGATGAAGAGATTAGAAGAGAGTAAGCAGGCACACTATGGGGAATACACCGGCTGTTTACTGAGCATGCTCGCGGCTGCCAGCACTAGCACATTGCTTTCAATGTGTATTTGTCATTGTGTGCCTGCTTACTCTCTTCTAACCTCTTCTCCAATCCCTGCTCTGCAAGGGGGCAAAAAAAGAAAAACAACAGATCAGACACAAGACAATGCATATTGCCTGTAATGGCGATCACATGACTGAGGGATGCTGCAAAGGTCATAAATTATTGTAAATTGGTCGTAAAGTTATTTTTTCAGCACCATCGTAACTTTGAGCAATCACTGAACAAGTGGTCAGTAAGCGAAGGCTATCTGTATTTTGTCTGTAGAAAGAAGAAATAGTATCCTCTGTTGTTTTGGTTTTCTTCACAGCATTAGCAAACAGGCAGACAAGTAATTTGACCTGTTCTGATTGAAAAGTTCTCTAGGATGGAAGACAGTATTTTCCTTCTTCTTAGGAGTTAAGTAATGGTGGATAAATCTCATCTACTTTAGAGTAGAGCAAGAGATTTATGATTCCAAATTGTTTAATAATAGCAACAGTAAAAAGCCCTTTCTTTTTTAATTAGTCCATTCTATTGAAGGACTTTTGGGGTAGAAGGTAGAAGAAGCTTTATGTATGAAATGACTGAGAGCTTCATGGAAAGAAATTCTTAGACTGTGTGCTCAGAGGCATTACTTTTCTTCATTCTAAAAAAGATAACTGTCTTCATCAGCCAGTGTTGCGAATCTGATTCCAGTGATGAACTTTGGGAGCCATATTAATCGGATCCAAGGCCTAATTAGCCCAGCAATTTTTGTTATACAGTGATCAACCAGATACATTCTGAGATAATCTGCACATGGGATAATCTGATAATTATGGCATTTGATTCTGGTAGTTGTATACAGATATTTATTTTATTTTTTATTTAATAGACTTGTCCCCACCCCCCTCCCCCCCACCAGGGGAGGCCCGGGGGGCCTACAAAAAAATAAAAAAAAAAAACAATAAAAAAAATAAAAAAAA